GAAGGAAAGAAAAAAGGGTTGGTAACCTAGCTTTTCATATTTTCTTAGTAAGATATTTTTAATAAATTACCTATTACCTAAATGGCAACACATAACTTACTTACTTATTCACAGGTTTTCAAACATTAGGTATTTTGCACCTTTTAGGCCAAAAGAAGCCTGCTTCATTATCCTTCCAAAATATTTAGTACATTACATAAAGCACTTGTGTTTGTTGTATCAAGGGTTAGGAGTAATAGAAATAATAAATTAATGTTAAACACATTTACACATTTAAATCAATATGCCACAGGAATAGGAGCAGAAGCGTGTCTAAGGGGCACGTGACGCCTGTGAAATCTGATAGTGCCACCCTATTTTCCTAAACTATGATTGGCTATTTGCGGCATTACAGTCAACGATGTAACCTTAGTTACAATCTCATGTTGCGAATTCTTGCACTACTTGTTAGTATTGTATTATAGTATTATTGTATTTTTTGTATACTTTACATTTTTTGATCTCACTTTTGAAATTTTTTATATACTTATATTTCTATTTATGTTCATGTGTACTGTAAGCATCAATTTATACCAAGGCAAATTCCTCGTATGTGAAAATGTCCCTGTCAATAAACCTGATTCTGATTAGTTCGATCCATGTATCTCAAGTGTCTTACGACCCCTCTCATATATAATTTAAATAGAGAGAAGGTGATTTAACATCATAGGCAACCAACCACAAGTTGTCAATCACATTAGGTATTTAAAGTAGTCAGTGATTAAGCCCCTTGCTCTATGGTAGGGGTCGGCAAATAAGTCTGACATTATTTTAGTCAAATTATTTCAAACCGTTGGATTCTCATGTCCACGTTTGAGTGGGGGAGTGTGGGTCTCCTGATGGAGGTGTTGTAAAGTCGATCCCACAATCCGCTTTTTTTCTCCCTTGTTAAACAAATTGATTAGCCTATAAGGATACTTTTTCACATGCTAGCAATAAAGCATGTGCTGCAGTGCGTGTGCGTCCCGGCGTTTGATCCGCATTCAAAAACCTATGGACACTAATTTTCATTTCCCTGAGGAAATTCAGGGAAATCCAATCACAAGGTTACTGTTGGCTTTTTCAGAGGTGTGTCAAGCAAGCCAGAGACTCTTTCGAATGTCCTTCAGAACTTCTCAAAGTAAAAGCTCTCAATAAACTCAACATAAAGCATTGCTGCAAAAAAAATATTTTGGAGGCACAATCACTTAAGATGAAGTGATTATTTGAGTAACTGTAGCTGTCATGACTGAGATCTATTTCAGCATCTGCCGCTGTCAATTTATTTATTTTTTAATTTTCTGCTATCAAAGCTATCTAACCGTGGGATAGATATTATTGCTGGCTGGCCAATTCTGGCCTGCGGGCCGCCGTTTGATGACCACTGCTCTATGGTGTCTCTGTCTCACACTTGATAACATTCTCAGTCAATAACAATACAATAACATGGAAGACTTTACACACAAAGACTTTATTGACGTATCACTCTACAGTACGTACATCCAAATTAAGTTTAAAGGATTAATTAATCTGCAATTTTATGTTAGAAAAGTTTTGAAGTTAGAAAAGTGAGCAAAACAAAAACTAACCAAGATGTTGGTTTGGACAACATTGCGTCATTGTTATTTATACCTTTGCAGAGACATGAAACATTTTGTCAATCATGTCAATGATGCACGTCACTGATCAAAATACTTTTTGTGTGTCATTGTGTGCTGTCACTAATAGGATCATGTTTTCATATTTGTGAAAGTGGCTGTCAGTTGTTTTCATGTGTTAAAGAGGTGGTATTATGCTTTTTGGCTTTTCCCCTCTCCTTTATTGAGTCATATATCTTTTTTGCGCATGTAACAGGTTTGCAAAGTGAAAAAGCCCAAAGTCCGCCCCAAAGGGAGTTCTAATCTCCTACAGAAAGCTCTGCTCTGAACTACCTGAAAACAGCTCGTTTGTAGTCCAGCCTTTACTTCCCTTTCTTGTGATGTCACAAGTAAATTCATGTCATAATGCTCGCCGAGCTACTAGTCCGACACGCCCTCAAAAACACCGGTGGAAAAACACTGAGCTGCAGCACACCTCTCCTCTCCAAACACTAGCCACCCTCCAAGCAGTCAGTGGACATAAAGTTGTTACTGTGATGTAGAGACAGAGCTCAGTTAAAACTTTGTGGATGAAATATACTTTTGTTACAGATTAATAACTCACCACTCAGAAACTCTTGCTCCAGTCCATATTGCCAAGCTGGCAACATGTAGCTTACAGCTGAATCGAAGCTGTTCACCGTCTTTTCGCTGATCCGCCTTTTCCTGCTTCTAATTGGCTAGTAGCCCTTAACTAGGAACTGCACATGTGTAACTCCCAACAAAGATCATTTAGAGACAAGATGTATCACTCCATAGCTAAAATGAAGCCTTCAACACGGTGAAAAGAGGAGCTGCAGCAATGTGCAGTATGACAAAAAATATGTTTTTTTTTTGAAAATTAAACCATGTAAACCTGTTCTGGTAAATCCCCTAAATAGAATTTTGAACCTGAAAATGAGCATAATGCCATCTCTTTAAGGTGCACTGTACGCTGTTAGTTCTTCTGTGCAGTGCATTTCACTGTTGCATATTGTCTTGAAGATGCATGCTTCCTCTTCTGTAATCCGCTGCTGACATTATGTTACTCTGATTGTGATGTGAAATCCTGCCGTGGCCATCTTGCATTGAGGCTGTAATGCATGAATTATAATGATATAATTAAAGTAGATCTGAGCAGTGGAGACAGAAATGTTAATGGAATGCTATTTTATTGCATGTGTGTGTGTGTGTGTGTGTGTACGCATGCAATAATCTTTATTATGGAGCTTTTCAAAATCCATGTTACAAAGTGCTTTCACAGGGGCAAAAAATAAACATAAAGATAAAACAAGAAACAGATAAAAATTAAAGCTGCAAGCAGTGTTTGACGGGCCCTTGCGCTGTGACCCCCGTCAGGGTGTGGTAAGGCCCAGTGGACAGAGGTTGGGAGATGTTTTTTATCATCAGTGCCTCTAGATTGCACAGCAAAAATCTGTAGTGGATTGGATTTGTTCTGTAGGAGGAGTTCATCAAAGTGTGGAATGTGTAAATTGCCTAAAATAACTATTAATTTAAAAATGTCCGACAAGACAGCTTGAGAGACTATTTGACTGGAGGACGAGCGGAGCGGCTAATTCAAACATGAAAAACCAATCAAAAGCATCAAATAAGATCAAACTTTACTAAACGACTTTGGCTGGAAATGGCAAGACATTGTGCAAATGAAAAACATGCAAAGCAACAAAATGAATATTATTCAACATATAGCATTTTATTCAGATGTAACCCCTAACGTACTCAAACATTTTCAAATATAACTGTAATTTAATTATTTTTCTGTAACAGATTAGTTAATTTATTTTGTAATTTGTAATGTAACTAAATTACACATAACTAGTTACTCCCCAACACTGACTACATCATATCCTGCCAAAGAAACTGCTCTGCACTGCAACAAAATCTCCCTTCCTGAGATTTTGAAGACACTCATAATCCCAAATAGACGTTGACTTCTATAAACCAGAACAAAGTTTGTCTTGATTGTTTATTTCAGCAGCACAAAGCTTTTAAACAAAATTAAACTTTGATTTCATCACGTAAATACATAATGTAACTTAAATGTATAGAGTAGCCTCCTAAAATATATAGTATATAGTATACATGCATAATGGATAGCAAACAAAAACAAGGATGCAAATGAATAAATTAACATTAGGCGCTGACTACATTGCATTTCCAAAGAGATAATTTCAAGAGAATCTTAAAGAAACTACAATTTTTCTTCTTTCTATATAAATATATATGGTTATATGTATGTATCTATGTATATAAAAAAAAAATTTCTCTATTTATTTAGAATGTATCTGATGGACTCATTGAACATGATGCATATTATGTATCAAAGTAATTACTAATGCAACCATATTGGTGTCATAGGCTAATACAGAATATATGTTAGATGTGTGGTATTGTTTAGATCATGCCGGATGCTTAAGGCTGCCACTGCCTGCAAAGCAAGAGTCACGTGACAGATTGAGAGATCCTAAGATATCAATAGGCTTTTCTTTGTTAGCCTAGCTTGCTTGTCTACTTGTACTGTTCAGAGGTAATACGCAAAGAAGCACATGAAAAATCAACCTGCTGTATTCCTTTGTCACAGCTCTATCATAGGCAGATGTCACAGACACCACATTCTTTAGCACAGCGATTAACTGGATTTCCACAAAAACCACTACAGAAAATCCTAATTAACGCTTGTTTCTATCCACTACGGTTGTGTGAATTTTAGGAGTTGGGCCATAAAGATAAACTGTTGGTGGTACAAATACTCCAGGTGGGTGCCAACATTGTAGAGGAAGAAGATGCAACAAGATCTAAAAAACAAAAATAAAGTGGAAATAATAATCAGGGTGCGATTTGTAAAAAAAAAAAAGTTTTTGAAACATTGTGCTGCTTGTCATCATAGAAACAGATCATCAGAGTTTGATGTTTATTGCACCTTTAGTAATTTCTGCCTTCCCTTCAACACACAGCTCCGCTGCTCACCGGAGCAAAGCGGCTATTATTCGTGACGTGTAACCAATCAGATAGCGCTGTGGGTGGAACATAGAGCAAGACTACAGAGTGGTGATTACCTACAGACAGAGAAGCGCTACATCAGAACCAAAGTAACGCATTTTAATATAAAATACCCTAACGAAATCACGGATCGATGCGAACTGTGTGTTTTGTGAAGTGAAGTGAAGTAGCATTGATCACTCTGAGGGGGGATAAATTTTGTCCCCACCAGGGTAAGAATAATTCAACTAAGGAAGGAATATATAAACCAGAAAGGGGGAAAACCCATGCATTCTCCAGCAAGCCAGACAGTTATCACAAACAATATCCCAATGGGTCTATGTTGCTTCGTAACAAGTCAGTGCGAACCCTCAATAGCCATATGCAAAGAAACATGGGTCATTTTTTCTTGAACTATTGGTGTGAACCAGATGTTTTAACATAAATGTTATATGGAACAATGAATTCACTATGTTTAACTTTAGCTCTACTCGTCTGCTGCATAGATCCATGTTATAAAGATACAAGCTAAAAACAGACTGGCTACTGTGACATAGAAAATGAAGAAAACTTTGTTGATTCTGTTAGCCACTCTGGTCCAGTACCCAGGCTTTCCTTCTTCCTTCCTGCTGTTGAGGAGCACAGTCAGTGTCTTCTCTACCTCCATCAGGTCATCTGAGACCTTCTTCAAGGAATTGGACTCCGTCAGTTTGCTGCTGTTATCCTGCAGATTTGGTTTAGAAAACAGTTTGCAATTTGCTGTATTTGACATTCAGGTTTTGTGTCCATTATGATGAGAATAAAAGGGTTGGATTATCCAATTACAAATAAACATTTTCTCACGTATGCCAAGAGGTGTCTTGTCATGAAAATAGTTTTTGGGGTGATTTAAGGTTTAAGTGAATGGGAAAAAAATTCAAAAGCATCCAAAACAATACTCTCAACAGTTTTTGACTTTCCTATCTTGTTTTTTGTTTTCATTTGGGTGAACCGACCATTTAAAGTGCAACCCTTTGTGTGCTAACCTCTTTGGCCACCAACGGCAGTCCAGATGGAGTTTCTCCAGTAAATACATCACTGACAGACACACGGTGAGTCCATCTCTTCTTGTCTGAAAGGATATTTTTCACACAAAGATGGTTGAAGCATATTCAAAATGCAGTGTTGGGCAGTAACGGGTTGCTCACAAATTTGAGTTATTTGAATAACGAGTAATAATGATTATTACTTGTTACTGTAATAAGATTACTGAATACTGCTCTCGTAAATACATGTGCAGAAAAATCAGGATTTACTTGCTTCATTTTTTATTTCAGCCAGTGGCATTAAGAAAGTTTTGTTTTGTAAAAACATACTCTTTGCTGCTGTTATGAATGTGATATTAGTTAAAAAGTCGGGAAAGACGTGGGGGGGGTGAAAGTGATATACCAACGTAACGAATAACGTAACTAGTTACTTTTATGACCCAGTAATAAGTAATAAGTAATAGTAATTTGTTATGTTTTCTTAGTAACTTGCCCAACACTGTCAAAATTACATCATTAACTAGTGTATTTTATACAATGTAAATGTGTCAGTGAGTATTCATATCATAGCATGCCAATTTAATCATAGTAATAGTAAACTGAACAAAGGAGGAGATTGAGTTGAGATCTAGAGGTTTGTAGAAATCTATGCTTAATCTCACCTCTAAAACAGTTATGGTAACGAAGGTTACGATATGGTAACCCTAGGTAAGCACAGGCGGAGCCCTCTACTGGACTCTATGGGTACTACCTCCTCCAATCACACGCACGCACTTGCCCACTGAAATTTTATTGTGCATGTAGCTGGCCAATAGGACGTCGCTACCATACTGCGTGATGTATAAATAGCAGTGTCCCTACTGCCTCAGCATTCGACCGCCTCTTCAGCAGACAGCGTCAGAGCGACAGGGCTCATCGGTAGAGGGATCCGCCTGTACTTATAGAACTAGGGTTACCACATCGTAACCTTCGTTCTATCTCACACAGGCTCCGCCCTCTACTGGACTCTATGGGTACAGTGGTGGAGCCCAATGACTGTCTGCCCTAGCCGCGACAAGCCAAAGTCCACCACACCAACCCGGTCGGCCACAGGCCGGCCAAAGCCACAACAACCACATCACCTAGTGACAGAGTGGTGGGACACCCCTGAGAAGGTCGCTGGACCAATAGGGGCTTGGCCTGACCTGCACTGCATCTGACTTCTCACCGGAACGTCGGGCACTGCCAGTGTATGTTCCCCCTCTACACCCAGTAATCACTAGATCCTCACCTTTCAGATCCTAGGTCGCACTTGCGAGCTGGATCCCGAGAAGGCACGACATATCCAAGAGATCGAAACGCTCAAACGATGCCATTGTGCAGATCTCTTCGACACACACCCCGCTGAAAAAGGTTCCATGCGTGCACATTCCGAGTGAAATGTGCACGCACCGCTAAGGGTGGGTCTGTTCCCGCCCGTGTCCAGGCTTGGGAGATTCACTCACAAAGCCAGCTGGCCAGGCTCTTCTTGGACAGGGCTTTACTGACTGCACTATCACTGAAACAGACGAACAGCTGACCGTGCATCGAATGGGGGCTGTGTGCTCAACATAGGACGTTAGCCTAGCACACATGTACACAACAGATGCACTCTCACCTCCTTGCACCCTAAGTGGGGTAGGGGGGTAGAAAGCATCCAGATTTATTGTCCTGGACCTGAACATGCTCCTTATGTTCTTAAGAACAAAGGAGGTGTGTTGTCTCAATCTGGCTGCACTGTGGACACCAAGAACCAGCATGCAGCTGGGGGGAACCGACAGGCACAAAGCTTACTCACCTTCTTAGAGAGCAAGGCTCATTTTCAATGAGGACTGCTCCAGGGGCTCATAAGGTGCAGATATTAGAGCCACCAACACAAGCAGCAAGTCCTACTGAGGTGCTGAGAAACCGTTCGCTGTCTTCTCACATCCTTCAGAAAGCGCATCACGAGGGAGTGGGTGAAGACTGTTCTGTCACCAAACCCCTGTGACAGGAGACATAGCTACAGCGCGACAGCCCGTTCTCCATCAGACCTTGCAGGAAAGAGAAAACGGATCCCACCGAACAGGTAGGCAATTCGCTGTTCGCTTAAGCAAAAAGGATGCTGAGGCAGTAGGGACACATTTTACATCACGCACGTATTGGTAGCGACATTATTGGTCGGCTACGTGCACGATAAAATTTCAGTGGGCAAGTGCGTGTGAGTATATGGAGTAAATGAGCAAATGAGATTGGAGGAGGTAGTACCCATAGAGTCCAGTAGAGGGCGGAGCCTGTGTGAGATAGACACAGTCCTCACTTAGGCTTCGGTGTCTGTCTTCCTTGTTATCTCGGAGTCTTTCCTTATGAGATGCATCACCAAAATCGTCTCCAGGAGGCTGAGCATCATCAAACCAAAACTTCCAATACAGTAAGTTGCTAAAGGGAGAAGGCAGCATCATTAATTTGGACAAATAACTACACATTCAGTCAGTATCTGCTACTCTTGCTCAAATGAATTTTTACCTATAAGTGGAATCTTGTTTGATGAAGCAGGCAGAATGTCATTCAGAATAAGTTGTAACACAGTGACAGCAAGCAGCACAGTGACTTTGAAGCTGAGCTTCTCGCCCCCTCTGTCTGAGATCAGGAAGGAGGACAAGTCCAGACACAAGAAGAACAGGACAGGAAGCATGAAGTTGACAACATAGAGGAGAGACCGCCTCTTCATGGTGATCTGTAAAATAATTTTTAAGGGTTAGGTGGCTGAACTTCCTACTTTAACCATATAGTACATAGGTTGCAAGCACAAGGTAATCGGCTCATGTCTGCAGTGATTGAGGAAGCCTTCAAATTGTTACCAACAGTGGCTATAATAGATTTATTACATAACAATGTATCAAATGCTGATGTAAAGACATATGGGAAAGGGTCACTTTAAGTGAGAATCATCACCTGCAACTCCCCTTGGCTTTACAGAGATTTATTGTTTAGCTGTCCGGCCCACAACTTTACTGTTCGCTTGTGACAACTCCAGGGCCTGGAGGTCATTGAGGAACTAAAGGCTGCTGGCTAGTGACCACTGTAGGTAGCTGGTAGCCTGCATTGCAAAAACTGAGCTCTCAAAAACAAGAAAAGAAAGCAATAAAATGGGGGAATTATTACTTAAATAAGCTACATTATCTGCCAACAGAACAAGAACATTTCAGTTGCTACTTAAGGACAAAACATTAAAGCCGTCTGATAAGAAGAAATTTCTTGTCAGACAAAAATAAGTATATTTTGCCTTCAATTAAGATAATTAATCTTACTTAGATTTTAGTTTTTGCAGTGTGCAAGCTCCCTCCCACTTTGTGTTACATAGGAGTTTTTAGATTTTCGGTATAGTTCATTTAGTATCAGCTTAGCCTGGCAGGATGTTTCTGTTACACAAAATGAGTCTAAAATCCCTTTCTTTGGTTAATCCCTTGCAACTGTGTCCCTTATTTGCAATAGTGTCAGAGCCAGGCCACAACACCCCTACGGTGTCACTCTCACCAGTTTCATAGTATTAATTTTGGGCAGTACAAGGCGGCAACTGTTGTCAAACTGTGGTCCACTTTTTTGTACATTCCACAACTTGTACTTCTTTACTCATTGCACTTCATATACTTGATGCTATTACTTGTTATTTAGTGAGTAAGAAAATGTTTGCCAACAAGTTTGCTATATGAACTTAGACGGTGATGAAGTACCAAAAAATAATATTAGCAGTAAAATAGTAGAAGTACATGTACTTATTTGAGACAAACAGAGGTGGAAAGTAGTTTCCACCCTTGTGTCTGTATCCAGAAGTACTCACCGTGTAAATAATTGTGCTCTGGTTGACGCCTAATGTGCTGACAGTATTTTCAGTGTGTATCATGTTGATAAAGAGCCACTCATACTGGGTCGGCGACCCGTGAGACCACACTTCGTCCTTCGAGCTGGCATTCCATTTAAGCTGGATATCCTTGTCTGAGGGGGGAGAAAAAAATTAAACTATGTGGTTTCTTATCAGGTCATCAAAGAAGGAATTAATGTGGTGGAATTCTGTATGTGCTCATGTGACAATAAACTGTTAAAGTCATTACCCCACACAAACACAAAACATACACATTTTAGATGAATATCTAGAAAATTATCCAAACGTGTAGCCACACCAGGCTAGTGGGTGCAGCTTACCTTCTCTGGCACCTGGC